CAAAAAAGAATCATATTCGCAGTATTTCGCCGATGTAATTTATCGCTCTCTAATAAATTACAAAAAAAACATGTCTTTTAATACGAAAAGAGCTATAACTTCAAAAAGAATCGTGAAAATTAAATTTAAATTTAGTTGCTAAAGATATTCAAATTCGCGATAATGAAAAATTTCTTCAGGGGTACTTGCTGATGAAGTTTTCCAAAAATTTCAAACCGTTTTCAAGTTATACGTTTATCCAACTAACCCCCTACTATTGGGTTACAGTGATAATGGTTTCTTTAATAATTCAATACTACTTTATGACCACTAACTAACCTATTTAGATTCTATTTTATGCATATGCCCGCTAAATAATAAAATTAGAAAAAAAAATTTGTGACAATAAGATCCCATAAATTATTTAAATAATTTTCTTCGACCCTGTTTTACATAGGAATCATTTCTCATAACGACCCTTAGTTTTCTTAAGAAATTAAAAATTTTAAATATTTAAAACAAAATTTTTGGAAAAATGAAAAAAGAGTCAAACATGAAAATAAATACAAAATCAGATAAACATGGGAAATTCATTTGAATAACTGATTTTCATTTTTCTATCTTCAAAGTTTTCAGTTGTTTTTCTTTTCTATATACTAAAAATATCATCACGATGTATCATGAGAAAAACAACAAACACGGTAGTTACTAACTAAAGAAAGAAGTTAAGTATACAACAAAAAAAATGTAACGAATTTTCAAAAATGTTTTCATCTTTTTTAGGAGTCTTATGAGTTCTTTCACTTTTTTCTTAATACATATGTATATGGTATAGCAGAAGCTTAAAGTAACAGCAGTCGAATGAGAGTAAATATACGTTAGAAGAAGAGCAAAGTTGAAATGAAGTATAAATGCTGTTATGTAGTAAAATACAGTGTAAATATATATATACATAAAGTGATTAAATTATTTTGTGAGATAATTAACTTTAACATCACTTTCATCATTTTACATTCACACATACATGTTTATGTATATGCAAGTGAAACTGAAATTATTGGAAGCATGTACTGATGTAGTGTACTTAATGATAAGCAAAACAGAAAAGAGAAAAAATAAAAATCAAATCATGTAAAGTGATGATGAGAGTAGTAGAACAGAAGAACATCTTACGAAAAGTTCACTCATTAATAAAGTGTAAAAATGTAAAGGAAAAATACAAACAGAATTAGAATAAGAGGATGATATTAAAATGATTTGAAGAGAAAGAAGTAAAATAAAAAGAAAATTATAATGTAAACATGATAATAATTTCACTAATATCTTTATCATACAGGTATTTATACAGGTAACTAAGTAAAAAGTTAAATATAAGAGGTGAATGTAAAAAAATAACTTAAAAAAGAAAAGGAAAAAAATTATGATAACAGGTAGTATTTATTTGGATAACACTTGACATAACTTTTATACATGTATCCACTTGACATATACATATATACGTTATGTATCCTCAAAAATATACTTGTATACAAATATTTCTATATTATTTTACATCCGTTTTTAATAAGAGAAAAAAGAAATCACAAAATATTGAAATTTTAGTACGCTTACAAAATTGACCCACAGTCAAATATGAATTTAATTAAATAACTACTGCTGTGTATCACGGCTAACAATTTTGATAATACATTAATAATAATTCGAGCTAATTTACCTATAAGATGGCAATAATTCAAAAAAATTTGGAAAGGAACATGAGTTTTTTGTTTGACAAAACTGATTTAACTAGTTTACGTCTTGAATTAGAAAATGCAGTTTAAGTGAACTTAATGACCAAACGAAAAGTAACACAGCAAAGAAACAAAACTGTCATTTTGCTTTGACTTCTCTCAAGGGCGCCAGTAATTAACATATAATATGTATTTTCGCAGGAGAACAATTCTTAACAAATTTGTTTTAATAAGTTAAAATTACATTTTCCGGGGACACTATACTCTTCTTTCTCAAAATATTTGTGTATTAATAAACATGTAGTAGAGTTCGACGTCCAAACCACATATGCTTTTATGACGGACTGAATTGCTTACATATTATTACAAATAATAAGAATGATAGATAAAACATAAAACACTCGAGAAATCAGTAAAATAATTCATGCACTCTGAAAGTACCACATCTTCTTACAATACTATTATAATAAAGTGTCAGTATCAGTCAAAACAAATTCTGTGCCCATATAAAATTAAGAAAAGAAAAGAAGAAAGTTTATTTTTATTATTATTTTCTTTAAATAATAATTACTAATTAGACAATATAAAAAAATAAAAGCAAAAGTAAAGTTACTGAGACTTAGAAAATTCTCAAGGTATAAAGCAAGAAAATTACGAGTGAATGTAAAAAAAAAACCTACTTGTTATCATCATTAGCGCTATGCCATCACAACTACTGTACTGTCATCATTATTATTATTTAAAAAAAAAGAAAATCAAAAATTCATTAATTTCATATTCCAAACTTTTCATTTCTTTTCTTTCACCTACTATATTTGTTTTTAATTGTTGTTGTTGTTGTTATTGTGTTGAAGAGAAGGGAAAACTGAATGATAATTATTTTTTGATATTACAATGTTACTGTTCTACATAGTTGGGTAAACAAAATCTGATACCCATTTGTAAATATACATACATAGATGCTTTGACTCTATTTTTTTTATCTAAGACTCACAGGGCACACACAAACTAATGTACATTATATTTCAGCACATATTTAAACTTTTTAGATCAGATTAATTTTGAAAAATTTTCTAAAAAGAAAATAAAATTTAATTTGTCAGTACAAATTGGAGTAAAGATGAATCACTTAATTATGATAGATTTCGCTACTGTTACAATATTGTTATTAGAATTACTTTTATATAGTTTTGAATCTATTTGAATGCTAATAAAAATAAACTTGAAAATATTTTAATAATGTCGTTCAACTCAAGAATAAAATTATAATTGCTTATAGTAAATAAAATTATATTCTAATTATTTAAAATTTTTTGGTATAATTACTTCACTTTTTATTTTAATGTTAATTAGGTAATGTAATTATTTTTTCTGAAATCGGTGAAAGTAAAACTAAAAACAAAAAAATTAAAAATGATGAGAATTTTTCGATTATGTTCATCTATTTTCACTTTTAATTAATTGTGGGAGAACTTTTCGAAATTATAAATATTTGCTATTCACTCACAACATATACATACATAAATACAATGAGTGAGCAGAAAAAAAACTAGAGTTAAATATTTTAATATAACAGTTTTAATTATAATATTTAAATAAGTATGTACAGAGTAAACAGGAAATATTCTCTCATATTGATGTTCAATTCGATCTTTCATGAATTACTTCATGAATATTTAAATGCAATCAAACATTTTATATGGAAATTATAAATACGCCAACACAAAATTATAATAAACTTGAAGCGCTACCTATTCTCTATATACATATAATATAAGTATATATTATAATGTTATATTTATTTTTAAGTTTATAAAAACTAGCTCAATATTAATTAAAAAGAAAGCAAATATATACATGAATGATAACAATGTGGGGAAATATTTTGATTAAATTTCACTTATTAAATTATATTTAATATTAATTGAAAATTTGATCGTGAGAATGATAATGAATTTTAATTACTAGTTCAAAACATCTGGCACATCTAGCCAAATTTCAGGACAAATTTTAGTTCCGTAATCACTAACATTTTCACCGTAATTGGTGATCCTATATGATATATTTCAAATTCTCAAAACAAACATGTGAAAAATATTCTAAATATAGTTGATAGATCTTGTTTCTCATACATGTATGAAACAAATATTGTATGATAGAAGACAATATTACTATTGTCTAATTAATAGTTTCAAATTAAATTGAGACACATGAAAAGTAATCAATACATTAAAATTCTAAAGTCTTTAAAATAAATATTCTAAATTAATTTGTGGAATATATTTAAGATAATCAGAATATTTTTTAATACAGATGTTTCTCCACTGCGTTAACACATAATGTTCAAAGTAGTCAGCATAAATTTTAAATAAATTAGTTTATTTACAAATCATTTTGTATATAACACATATGTATGTGTATATATTTTTATGGTATTTAATTGTATACAAAGCTCTGTTTCGATTTTATTTCCGTAAACAGTTTCTATATTAACCGAGAAACTTGAATTCCATTCCAACTTAGAATTCAAACTTAAAAATCAGATATAAATTTAGTTATACATCTTAAAAACTAGAGCTTATAAATGCATAAATGTTTAAATATACGCATTTTAAATGTAATAAATGTCATATAAAATGTATGTAAAGTGTATAAATAGATAAGAATGTTTAAATGTTAATATATATCATAAATAATTTTTAATTGAGTTTAATGGGAATTTTGTTTTTTTTTAATTCCGGAAATTATAGATACATTCTTTTGTTATATCATGATTTTCATGCATTTTTCCTTGAAAATCAATTAAAATTGTTATATTGCAAAATTATGTGAACGCAATTGAAGAAGTGTTATATTATTACAGTGAAAAAAGTGAAATTCTTATACAATTCAAGAGCTCAATTCGTTCAAATTTTCGATTAAGACGAGTTTAGTTTGAATTATTGAAATTTTTCTTACATGTACAGCAGGCGTATAAATTTTATGATTTTTTTCGAAATCTAATAATTAAATTTAAATTAAAATTCAGATATTTTAAACAAAAAGTATAATTCTCATCAATACTATGGCTAAAAATTATCAGATTTACCAAAATTCTAAAACATTAAGAGATTTCGATTTCTTTTCTACTATATGTTGCTATACATGCTCATATATTCATTTTATACTTTCTTTTAAAACAATTTTTTTATTGTAACACACCCAAATTTTAATTATTGAATAATTAAGAGAAACAATAAGAATAAAGAAAAGGATATAAAAAAATATTCATATACAATATAAATTACTTACCAGGTCCATTATTACTTGTAACAGTATTTCCTTGTGTTAATAAAATTTGACTTTCCAATTCATGTAATTCAGACTTTAATTCAGCTAATTTGGTATTACTTTTTTTAACAATTGATGCAACATCTGATAATGAACGACGATCTTTTGCTACTTCACGTAATTTTTCAGCTCCTTCTTTTATTTTTAATTCTTTACGTATTTCACGTCTTATAGCTTCTTTAATTTCTTCTAAACGATTTGGTAATGCACTCTCTGGTAAATTATCTGTGAAACCATATTTGTGACTTAATTCATATAACACTGGGTGTTTTATATAATCGCCCTACAAATATAAAAAGAAAAAAAAAACAAAACATTAATATTATAGAAAAAATTCAGAGCAAATAATAAAAATAATAAAATTAAGCTGAAAATGTGAAAAACTTGAAAGAATGTTCGGTTTCGGTGTGTGAAGTAAAAGTTGCCGCTTTCAAGTCGATTAAAACTGATTGTAGGCGAATTTTTATGCAGAGACATCATTTAATTTTTTATAAATATAATTTTTGTACTTATTTTGTTTTTTCTGAAAGATAACTAAACTGAAAAAATAAAAAAGACGACTACGATTATAAAATTTATGAAAATTTTATAAAAAAGAAAAAATTACTATGGTAAATTTTTTATAAGAGAATTTTCTTTTTATTAAAACAATTCGAAAAGTGAACAACGCGTTGGTTGAATTGTTGCTTTTTTTTCACTTATGCACATGTAGTTAGTTCATGTATTATGTGCAACCATTAAAATTACAGAATAAAAAGTCGATATTCCAAGTAGTCTTACGAATGTGTTTGTATATTTATGTATTTACATATATGCCCCAGTACATCGTTACAATATTATTAAACCTATTAACTTTTAGATAAACTGTTATATTTTTGATTTAAAGAAAAATTACAGCTTCATAAGTTAATAGTAAATTTGCACGAAAACAATAGAGACATAACATGTGCAAACGCGCGTCATCACATAAAATATCAAGTTCTACATTAGAGAAAAATTGAATAGTTTCAAATTTCTTGGGAGAATATGGGTTTAATAATAGAATTATTGTTTATAGTTCTGCGATAATTTGTGTGTGAACTGTATGAGCTGTTGTTCAGAATAAAACTGATACATATGCAAGTTTGTTAAGAGTTTTTGCAACAGATTTATTTATCTAATTATAACAACTTTTCTAACTCTTTCATCGTTACAACCTTTGATTAATAAGTCTTTTTTAACTTTTAACCGACTTACATACAACATTCGTTAAGTAATATTCTTAGGCCCTTAAAAATTTATGAGTATTCAATCACAATATCTTAATTTTTAATGAGTATTGAATCACAAAACGGGACTTTCGCTTCAAGTAATCGCAATCTCAATTGAGCAAGAAAATCGTACAATTGATTAGAAAACAATAGCCTTTGAACTGATTTGCCTGAAACTTTGACAAAATATACTTGTGACATGAAAATTATGTATGACCACGTATTGGAGGATAAAAAATTCTGAATTATTTTAATGATTACATTTTTTGAAAAATTTTCATTTTGTTTTCAGCAGTTATTGAAAAATGGTAATTCTGACATCAGCCTAATACATTTCCGTTATGTATAGGTCTATATTAATTGAGAAAAAAGTTGCACACACCGCATTGCTTTAACTTGCTTAGCTTCGGAACTTTTATGGATATTTGTTAGCTAGAATTTATTCTGGTTTAATTAAGCCATTAATTTCTCCATTCTCATCTGTACATCATGTTCATAGATGCATGCATTCATATAGGTTAATCAAAGTGTACTTAACTACTTACATATACATATGAGTATTTTATGAGTACTTTATCGTGTATTATTTATTACACGTACATAAGCATGTGCACGTACATAAGTAATGTAAAAATTCATACATACATACAAACATAGTTTAATTATTATCTTTTTAAATGTAGTATACATAAGTATGAAAAATTTTAGCGACAGAAAAATACTTAAGTTCATACACTTATTAGCAGAAATCAAAGAAAAAACGACAAAAAAAAAATTAGTAACAAAAACAAAACAAAGAAAAAATTAAAAACGGTACAATTAAAAATGAAATGGTCTATCGCTTGCATTTATTGTGTTGTGAGCAAGTAATTACCGTTATAATAGTGAAAATAAAAATTATCAAATACAATCTTAAATAAAGTTTTCTTCATTTCTTTGAATTTTGCTATTAATAATATTTTATACACAAATGATGGCGGAGAAATCAAATTATGTTAATGAAGTCTAATTATAACTGTTTTTATATTTTTGTTTTTGCTGTGTTTATGCTTTTTCATAGAGATGACAATTTTCTAAATTCATTTACGACTTTAAAAAATTTCCCTTTTCGAAAAGTGAAATGATTTACTGAGTAGGTTTTTTTTTCGATTTAAAGATAAAATAGTAAATGAGAGTGAGTAGCTAATAGCAAGTTATTAATACATTGTAGATTATTCAAGAGTTGCTATTTATTCAGGATGAATAAAAGTATGAAATGATAAAAGTATTTGTGCAAGTAATTTCGAAATATTTAAAAAAAATATGTGGCTTTGAAGAGTTGAAGCTGAAACAAGCAAGTGTATTTTTTGAAGCTGGAAGTAGTAAAATTTTTTAAATTATTCTACAAGTCGCTATTTTTTTAGATGACATGTTAATGAATATTCAAAAATCCTTACAGCATTATAGGTAAAGTCCGTGAAAAATATGAAATATGAACTTAAAAAATATAAAGAACTCGAAAACTTTTTATTTTTGCTTTCGAGATGCACACAACAAATTCAATATACTAAACGCGTGAATATTTTCAAAAAAATTTTTTTTTTATTTGATTTGTGATTTTTAATAATTTCGTTCTAATCTAATAAAATAGAATTTTTTATGCGTATTTATTAAAATATTTTCATAAGCTAAAGCTTGACAATAAATTAATGCACACATAAATATGGTACGGATTTTCTATTTTTATTGCCATAGACTAGAATATAAATTAAAAAACAAATAAATATTGCTGCCATTTTAAATAATTCCCAAATCTCACTTCATGTCACACACAAAATATTTGTTTAAATCACACAGCAAATTTTTACGTTCTTCTTTTGTCCCATTTCGTAAAACAATAGAGGAATAAAATTTTTATATTAAAATAAATTTTCAGGAAAAAAATAAGACAAATAAAGTTTATTTAAAAAAAATGCATTTTAGGGGAAATGTTGAATCCGAGTAACTAGAGGGTAATATTATTCACTTATTAAATAATGAAATATACGCTCTCATGTTACACATTCTCCACAATAAATTTCTAAAATTATTTTATTAAAGTAAGTTGTACATAGTTTGCCCAAATTTGATGTGAAATAAGAAGATGGTTTTATATAAATTTTTTTTAATAGAAAAATAATGTCGACCCCTTAATAGTACCAATAATTTTATACATCAGCTTTTACTTAAATATAACAGGTTTAACACAAGTAGCTGCGTCAAACACATAAACTATTCGTAGGTACTGCGGAACTTCAATAAATGTTGAACTGAATTTTATTTAATTCAATTCGAATCACTTAGGCTTGATGTGCATAACGTATGTAGTTCACCTTAGTAAAACAAAACTCCACTTAACGATATTTTCTGTGCCACTTGAGATTTAGGAATTTAATATATAAAATATTTTAATATAAAAATTTCAAAATTCTAATAACGAATTTGCAAATGCAATTCAAATATAAATACAATTCAATTTTGTTTCCTACACAATATCGAAAATGAAATATTTAAACAATTAAAAATAAAATGTGGCGAAAATTTTTTATATGTATGAATATGAAAATACAAAATGCATGAATATAAATTCAATATTTAAATAATAAATTTATTTGGAGTGCTACTGATATTTGCAATAGACTTATTTTATCCAAATTCTCGTTTTTTATGAAAATCAAAAATAAAAATTTTTATGAAATCAGAAATCAAAATTAAATTGATTTTAGTTTTTCATTTTTATTATGAATTATTGAATTTTGAATGAATCTAAGTAATTCTCAGGAAACTTTCAGAAAACGTATTGTCTGACGGCAAATCATTTCTAAAACATATCAGAAAAGCATATTAAGTTGTACTTTTTAATGCCATTCTCAAGTTCTTCACCAGAACCTAGTTTGGCATCTCTTACAAGAACAACTTTTAGAAAAGCCAATGAACGAAATTTCAACAGATCTTTGAGACCTTTTCATGGAACAAAAGTGACAGCAAAAGATTTTCGAGAGCTTCTTAATGGCGTACCACATGATCGTATTGTTTGGATTTTTTTTTGTCTGACTATCGATTATCTATACGATCTGACTATCAATTTTTCAACTATCAAACCCTTTCAAAAACTGGTAATTTAAAAACAGACGAATAAACGAAAGGACATTTGCTAGGTACAACTAGAATTAGATTTTCAGTGAGAATTTGTAATTATACAGTTTATGGAGTCGCAAATGTTTTTCTTTTGGTTTTGTACATCGTGTTGTAATAAAGTTCATAATACCACCTATATGGTACCTTCCATCTTTTTCATCATGAACATTATACAATCTGTTTTTTTATCAAACTTTCAAGTGAATGCTTTATTAAATTTTTTATTTATGAATTTTATCTTTGGACACGCCACCCTTTTTCAAATTTATAAAACATGTTGTATAAATGAAAATTTCCTGTATTTAGAAAAAACAAACAATAAATAAAATTTAAAACATCGTACTAAAACAGAGGCTTTTTTTCTCAATTTGTTAACCTTTTTCTTTTCGAGTTTTCTATAACAACATCTATATATATATATATATATATATATATATTATATGTATTTGAAATATTAATTACCAAATAAATAATATAAAACAAGGATAAATAAAATTCGGTATCCTTTTTAATAAATTAAAAATTTTTCTTACACTTTTCGAAATTTTATGCTTTTTAATCAATAGAGAAGCATAAAAATGAATTATAAGCATTGTGCATGTTTTAATAGTTGTATATATGCAAATAAAGTACATATAATCTTTACAAATTGATTTTTTAGGTTCACCCATTCAATTTTAACATATCGTGTTTATATAATTTTCATACTATTCGAAAGTGGAAGACGTCATATTTAAAATAACTTGAATTTTGAAAGGTAAATTAATGATCCTGAAAAGTTATTTAGGTGTTAAAATATTCAAAATAATTGTTAATCATTTATTTAATGATTTGCAATTATTAATGATTTAAGCCACTGTGACAGTGTTCATTAGGA